TTTTCCCAATGCCTGGCTTATAAAAAAATGATAAATGAACACAGACTAAAGTTAGCTGTGGTGAGCATAAGCTCAAGGACTTGCCCTCCCTATGGCAACGTGAATGTGTATGTACGTGTGTGAGGTCGCACACTTCCGTTTGTTTTGGTTCCTCAGGCGGAGCAGCGACAAATTTAGCTTGCAGCAGTCACTGGAAAAATGCTGGAAAAACAGAGCAGCTATACATAATTGGAGAGTAGTCACTCATTAAGATTGTTTGGCGAAACCAGTGGCTGGTTTCAACAGGAATACATCGTGTACATTAAAAAACACAGGAGGGGGAGCTTGGCTTTCTATCAAAATGTACAGTTTACAAGCCTGGCCTGAAAATGTGCAGTACCAAGACTACAATACCAGAAAAAGGGCAGTTAGGCCAGTGTGTTTCCTCTTACTGTTGTCTGTTGGGTGGAGTTAGTGTGATCACACTCACCTGTGTCTCTGTCATTAGTCTCACTCATGTCACCTGGTGACCTGGGTACATGTCCCTCACTCACACACTCTGACTTGGTGGGATCACTGTTCAAGTCTGTTCATGTGAGTGAGTTCATGTTTAGTGTGTCCATGTCTTGCTGTTGTCTATGCCTTGTAGTTTTTGCCCTGTTCCTGTGACCAGTGAGTTTTTGTTGATAAGAAACCTGCTGAGGGACAGTCTCCCTTGTGCTGCATTTGAGTACTGCCTGTTCCCTGCGTTGTTGGCCCATAACATTTTTTTTTATCAGGCAATGTCAAATCCTACAGTTGCCTACTTCTTCTTTTTAAATAAATTGTCTTAACAACCTGCCTTGGAAAACTGTCCTTAATAAATCAACTCTCTTTGATCCACATATGTATTAAATAATTAACCAGTGAGAGTGCAGGTATAAAGGTAAATCTGCAAGGACCGGAGGAAACAATGTGGGATGAGTTTGAACCCCAAGGTCAACCATGTCCAAGAACAGATGGAAAAAAGAAATTAGCTCGATTGATGTTTAATTTTATGGAAGACTAGTGAGACCTGCTAGAATGTTTGGTTTGGAGACTAGGTTTAGTCAGATGGAACAGTTCAGAGATGAAGCTGGAGAGACAGTAAAAACAGAAAATATTGGATAAAGAATGTTGGGGGGGGGGGTGGGGGGGGTGACGACCACGGATTGTAATTAGCTCCACTGGAAAGTGAATGGGAAAAAAAGAAAAATTAATAGAATAAAAACAACACAAAATAAAATTAAAGTTGACAACCAGTAATGTTTTTCACCTTTGTCCCATGTACATGTCTTACAGACACACTCTGACTGGACAGCCACCACATTCAGTCTAACAAAGGTCAAAGCACCCTAACTGTGACAGTGATCTTCAGTTTAAGATTGAAACAGGAAGTGATAGAAGAGCAGCGTGTATCACTGTTTACTCTGCTCACATGGTCAGGGTGAAGGCGAGGTTAACCACCCATCTGTGTGGGTGCTCCTGCTCCTCCGCTCCCTTCGCTGGTCCCTTCTGGATCCCGTAGACATGCACTGACATGTGATATTTCCCTCTTCCACACGCTAACACACAGAACTCAAATAACAGTGTATTATACACTGCATGGTTTACATAGGAATGTGGCTGGAAATTCCTCAACGTCCCAGGTCTGATTTTGAGGCAGAACCAGCGCCTACTGGTATATAAATTTACAGCTTAAAGATTTCTGTGGTGAAACTAAAAAAACAGTATTGACAAGCAGGTCTCTTGGCCTTAAAACTATATATGGCTCTAGGCTCAGAATAACTGACGTTTGTTCTACAAAAAGAAGCTAATTTGGGTTGCCAGGTTGTAGCAAATTCTGCTTTAATGAGACAACTTCTCACACATATTCACAAGTATGAATATAAAAACAAGACAGGAGTTCCTTCAGGTTTAGTCCTTGGCGTCAAGCATTAAAAATCTGTTTGGTTTCATTCTATAAAACCATGGTACGTAGATGATTGTCCTATAAGATAACATTATTATAACAGACATTTATTTGTACATTATTTTACAACATTATGTATATTATACTTGTAAATGCTCTTGTTTTTACACAACAATTGTACCTCTGTCTAAACCAATGCACTTTCAGCTGACATGGAAAATATTTATACGTCTGCTGACCTGATGTGAAAGTCGTCACTTCCCCCTTAATTAGTCATGATGTTCATTTTCACACACTCACATTTGGCTCCCTATGAATTTCGTAGGCGTCAATGTGACTGCGAATCAGTCATGGAGGAACTGCGCCGAATCGATCTGACCTACATCACTGAGCGTATCATTTCCTTATCCTGCCCCCCCGAGTGTCACGAGGACACCTACCTGAGAAACCTGCAGGAGATTATTCACATGCTGCAATCAAAACATGGACATGACTACATGGTGAGGGCAACGAGAACACAACAGGGTTCCTGAATGTGGCATGTGTTGCACAAATGATTTCATGCCTTGCACATAAGGGGATTGAGGGGGAGGCTTTAGAGAACACTGAGAAAAATCTCACCCAGGTTTGAGTAAACTCTCACATTAAACATAGGAGAAAAACACCAATCATGTTCAGACACAGGTGTACAGTAAACTACTGAATGGACAGGCACTTCCTAACCGCAGCAACATCAGGTTATCACAGGTATAATGGAAGTACAATTAAACATTTTTACCATATTGAGTAAAAAAATTACATTTGCATCAAATTATTTTGAAGCTTGGAATCTGAATACAATTAAAGATTTTTCTGTTTTTTAATCTCTAGTTTCATTTTTTGTTAATCAAAAAATAGATTATTTAAATACAAATGTGTTATTTTACATTTGTTGTATTTTCTGAAGAAAAAATGTTAACCATAAAAAACATTATTCTTTCTTCTCTCCTCAGCTCATCAATCTCTCACAGAAGAAATACATCTTCACACAAATAAACCACAGGGTAAATATAACAAGTCACATGACTTTTCTTTAGAATAACTATTTTAATATTTAACGTATTATAGAGAACTGTGAATTTCAAATTTGTCATTTGTCTGTCAGGTTTTGGACACAGGTTGGGTCGACTTTTTGGCCCCACAGTTGGATCAGATCTTCAGTGTGTGCAGAACAATGGAGAACTGGCTGCAAACAAACCCGAAACACATCCTGGTCCTGCACTGCAGGGTCAGTATTCCCACTGATTGCAGTCCAGTTTTGAAAACGCTTTACCCAGAAATAATACATTTGAACAGACTTTTACCTAATAAAATAAATAAATAATAATAACATTGAGAAAAATTGGAATTTGATAATTAGAATTTTGTAAACTTACTTGCTGTGCATATAACTGCATTTAACCGTGGCATTAAAATTGGTCTAGAGTCTGCTATAGACTACAGACCTATATTTCAAGACAACCATACTCCATACTGGCCTCTGGTGGGTTGCATAAAATGATGATGCGGGCTGGATTTGGCACGGGGGCCTTGAGTTTGACCTATGGCATGTGAAAAAAACACTTAGTTTGACCATCCTGACTTTGTATGTATATATTTACAGGGAAATAAAGGCCGTCTTGGAGTCCTGGTGGCCTCGTACATTCACTTCAGCAACCTGACAGCGAGGTAACACTGATTTTCAGTGGTCCATTTCAGAGCAAGGGGGCGGTAATTTGTTTTGCAGAAACCGATAATCAATAATCAACAAGGTATTTGCAACAAAATTAGATTCAAACTGAGATTTCCTTCTTAAAGATGAATCATCGTCAAAGATGACTACATCTGTGGCCCAGTAGTTGTACAAGTGTGTGTACGTGTGAGAGTTGCTGATTCAAATCATAGGAAGGGCAGGGTCGGTTAAAAAAACAGTGTTTTACTGTAAACCTTCACTGCTTTTCTTTTAAATAGAATGGTACCTTAAAACGTTGACATCAAGATTTAAAACAGAGGAAGTGAAACTAGTGAGTGAAAGGAAAGCTGTGGATTTAGTATGTAGAGAAACTGTAGAATGTCTCCTGTAGAATAATTCTGTAAATATCCCCAGGATATTTACAGACTTTGCGCAACAATCAACTTCTCAGCCCCGGAAGGAAAAATATATTTTCGCTCAGACAGAAATGTAGCCTTAAAGACTCACATAACAGTAAAGAGTGTTCGCAGATTAAAGAGAACCTCAGAACAATAGACATTGAAAGGTGAACAAAGAGTGAGTCTCTGTACATTATCTGAAATAACAGACTTTGAACTCGACTTTTTATGGTCTTTTATCTACCAATAAATGTTGTTCTACAGGCATCGTTTAAATTCATCTCTAATGAGTGATGATGAAGTCAGGGGTCAGTAGGTCATAGGTCACTGGCTGCTAAGACATGCAGCACAGACAGTGGCTGTGTCTGATTCATTCAATTCACGCTTAGTACTGCGGTTCAGTGGTCGTTTTTTGGTGGTTCTCAAACTGTGGTATGTGTACCACTGGTGGTACATGGACTATCGTTAGTGGAGAGTATTTTAAGCTGCATTGGTAATACAGTGAAGATACACAAAAAAAGGAATAATAATAAAAATAATAAAAAAAACGGAATTAACAAAACCTGAAAACCCCAAAGAAGAAGTGTGAATCTGGGGAACTGTTTTTGTCTTTCTTCGTCTCAGCTGAACAGTGTAGCCCTGCGCTGTGTCTTAATACTGGTGCTACTTGGAGAGACAAATACTTTCAGAGATGATTTAGAGTTTGAGTACTTCTGATTGAGAATATTGTCTGAGTCACAGTGGTCTCCCTCAGTGCAGACCTTTCTCTGGACCACTTTGCCATGAGAAAATTCTACAACGACAAGCTCTCAGCTCTGATGACTCCATCACAGAAACGGTAAGAACAGCCTGGATAGAACAGGTCAAGGTCAACACAGGGTTGAATCTACTTTGACTTGAAGTACTGATGGTGTTTCCTCCGTCCTTCAGGTACGTGTGGATGGTGGGGAGCACGCTGAAGGGAGGACTGAAGATGAATCCATCTCCGTCTTTTCTTCTCTGTGTTGTTCTTCATGGTCTTCCCAAAACAACATCAGAAGGAGGTAGGCTGTCAGTTACTCCTGTGTGCTGAGTCATTTTTGAAATCACTCAGTGGACTGTACAAGTATGTACATAAGTACTGTGTAGTCTTCTGTCATATTTCCAGGATGTTGTCTTTTCCTGAGGGTCTACCAGAGCCTACAGGCTGTGTGCACATCAGCAGTTTAGTAAGATTTTTTTTTTAACAAATCTTGAACATATACTGTGTATAACCATGTGACAAACACACACACACACACACACACGTTAGACACAGTACCTGGAGATAACATGTTTGTCTCCACTGCAGCCATGTGACTGCAGGACAGACTGATCGACTCTACTTTGTGCTCCAGCCGGCTCAGCTGCTCAAAGGTGACATCATGGTGAGTCAGAAAAACAGATCAGATTTAAATATTGTCACTATGGCTTCCTTAATAACAACAACAACAATAATAATAATAATAAAAGTATGAGTTCACACACTGAGCAACAATTTTGGCAACAGCAGATACAGGCTCCTTGGCAAAAAGTGAAAAGTGGGGGAGACAGCAGAGGGCAGAGGAGAGAGAGAGAGAGAGAGCAGGAGTACAGTTGTAGAATCAATAGTGTTAGATGTCAATGGTAGTTACACCGAGTTGGATGTTGTTAGTTATAAATAACACAAACAATGAGAATGGTATCCGACCAGTAGAGGGCACCAAAAAGCATTTGAAAGTCAGTTTTTGAATTATTTTCCAGGATTTTATTATTCAATGCTTCACCCTAAGTTTCCTCTCACAAAAATGCAGATTTTTTTTGTTAAATTAAAATAATTTTGATTTTTCCATAAATAGTCCAGTTGCCCCTGAATCTGAACACATACACAGTGACATGTGTTTAATGCCCCTACTTCCTGCCTGCAGGTGGTTTGTTATGATAAGAACAGCAGGCCAGCATCTCGTCAGGTCGTCTTCCGTCTCCAGTTTCATACAGGCCTGGTGCAGGGACACAGTCTGACGTTTCTGAAGACAGACTTGGACAGAGCCAGTGAAGGTATCTGTAAAAACCAACCTGCCCTAAAATGGTCACCGCTGCCTCCCTCTGCCAAAATTCCCCTCTGATAAATCTGCCATCCTGTAGTGTAAACTAACCTGACCTCACCTTGGACCCTGTATCTGCTCTACAGGTGTGAAGAACACATGAGAGCAGGTCCAGGAGCGCCACCTGTCCAGATGTCTGATCTCTCACTCTGTCTCTTATGTAATATTCCAGACCTCCAGTTCCCAGAAGATGGAAAAGTGGAGCTGTTTTTTTCAGAAAGGCCTGAGAAGATCACAGGTATCTTCACCCTCACATCAGATGATTTATTTGCCTTTTCTTTCTTCTTTTTTTTTTAAATGTGATTTTTGAAAAATGCAGCCTGCAGCTACAGACACAGGGAGCGCCAATTGATACCAGGAAAACATCTGTATGTGGTTTTCAAATGTTTTTCAAGCCTCAGACTAAAATCCTCAGAATATTCTGGAAGTTTTAATACGTCTTTGGTCATTTGAACAAATATTTGAACTAAAAGCTGCACACGGTACACCTGGGGTGGAATTTAGTTTCCCTATGCATGAGATGTTTGTTACTTTACAACCAAGACAGAGAATGAGAAGAAAAGACTGACTGGATATGTCACATTAACACAGTGTGATATTTAAAATACATATTTATATATATTTTAACCAGCAGGAGTGGTAACATCAAAGTTAGAAATTGAACATTCTGCACATGGATACTGATACTTCAGATGAGTGTGACGCCACGCTGTGTGATCTGTTTAGCCCTAAACAGAGTGAGGGACATCTGTCCATCTGGTATTTGTTGTCTCACCAACACCAGGTCTGGAGGTTGCAGGGGATTGACCTCAGGACTTGGTGCTAGGCATTTATAAACCTGCATGGAACTTTAAATTTACTTCATATGAAGCTGTCCTTTCTTCACAAACATGAAAAAGAACACACGGTGTGCGATAAAGTAACTGTTTTAACCACACACAGTGGACCAGGTGGCTTTGGATCAGTGGTTTGTTTGATTCCGTCAATCAAAAGGTCAGATTTCTACACGTCCACATTTTCTGGACATGGATTTTTCCATGAGTTTATTTAACGTTCAGCGTATAATTCTGGTCATGGTTGTGGTGAGATCTAGAGCCAATTAAGACAATGACTTATGGTTTGTAAACCCTGTAAAACCAAAGTCAAAGTCTAGGTTACTAGGGGCTAGATCAGGCATGGCCAAGGAACGGCCCGGGGGCCAGAGGCGGTCCGTTTGGCTTTTTAATCCAGCCAAATTATATTATTAATTTATATTATCATTATACTTCTGCAATGTCTACATTTACCCAGTAGATGGCGTTAAAAAGCATTCCTTCACACAAACGCTCCATCTACTATTTCATTAAAAAAATATCAAAACTACTAGAGTTCCTTAACTTTTCAGTCAAATTTGTTTAAAAAAATGTAATGTTTTGGTCTGATTAAAAAAAAAAACACTGGACAAAGTTACTGCATACTGATCAAAGCTGTATTAGTTTTTACTAACCTCTGTTATTGAAGCCTGGCCTGTTGTCCTGAACCTCAGCACATACAGTCGCACTGTTCTGCTCAACAGGAAGTAATAGGACGGGTTATCACACACACACATCTGACAGGAATTTAGATGTTAGATACTGTGCACGCACACACACACACACATACACACTGACTCAAAGACCAGGAAAACAAAGACACAGAGAAATGGAGCTGCGTACGACATGAAATCCAGATATTTAGAGAAATGAAATATAATCTGAGTTTGGAAAAATCAGCAGGTGGTGAGGTAGGTGTGTGTCGGTGTGAGGTGGGTGTGTGTGTCCTGTTGTTGTTTAACTGACTCGGCTCACCTCCCAGTCTGCTCAGTTGTTTGTCTTTTTTTTGTGTTTCAGGCAGAGAGCTGTGGCACAACAGCAGCTCAGTGACGGTGGACTATGACACACTAGACCCTCTGGTCCGACGGGACTCTTACCAACAACCTTCTTCTCCTGACGCTGGTAAAGTGTTGTTAAATGTCTTCATTTATTTTCAACCTCTTACGACTGCAGTTTCTTCTTTGGCTGCTTGAAATTCTAGCGGTGTCCTTGGGAATAGTGAGGCTTAAAAAAATGTAATTGGTAAGAATTCACTAGGAGAGTAGACAGTAAATCCACACACTGCAATACTGCAAACAAAAACAAAACCCAGATATTTTAACACAGATACTTGGTAAAAAATGTAATCTGGGATCACTGGACACTATTTAGGGAATTACCAGTGTGACATTTAGTTTTAGCCTATTTTCAGGCTAACGTTTAGCTACTTGCTCGCTATTTTTCTGTACATTCTCCAACAAATTCTTTTCCAATCTAAGAGAGTTTTTTTATTGTAGTTTTTATTTTTCTGGTAATTGCTTTATAGAAAGTTATTTTGTCATATTATTTGCTAACATTAACACTTTCTGTATTATAGTTCTGAAGTGACCATTAGCCACTCCAGACTCTTTTTTATTTTTTATTAATATTTATATGGTGCAGGAGTAGCAGCTACTGGTCTAGACACAAGCCTAGAGTGCGCTCTAGCGGCTGTCAGTGTGACAAGCGTGAAATTGTACATTTCAATGTATAAGTCGCACCCCAGCCGAAGGGTGAAAAAAGTGCAACTTATAGTCCTTAATGTATTAATAATATTTTCATGGGTTTAAATGGGTAAAAATAAATGCATTTTTTCAAAATCCACTCACTGATTATGTCAGTGGGTCGATACTGTATGTCCATATTATATCAAAACGGCTGAAGCTGCTCTAAGATCATGGAACGTTGTGTAATGTCTTGTTGTGGTTTTGAGATTGGTTTTAATCTTTCTGACGCGACAGATCTTCAAGGACACTGTGGGAGAAGTTTGTGTTCAGGGTGTTTTCTGCCCCCTGTTGGATACAGGATTTTTCTAAACTGGTCTCAATCTAGGCTGTGAGGTTGGACATCTGTGTTTCGGGGTTTTTTTTTGGGGGGGGGGGGGGGGGTAATTGTGTAGTCATCAGTGTGACAACTTACAGCTGCAGAGACCACAGAGGCCTCTTTGACATTCCTGGAAACGGGGGCAAATACAATCAGCCGTCCAGGACCTGTGTGTTTGAAGGAAGCTGTGATTTTCAAGCACTGCTTCATTTAGCTGGAATAATTGTTGACACACACTGAGGTGAACAACTGCAGTACAACGGCAACAATCACCGCTGGGCAATGGTTAAAGGTTGGTTCCAGCTGTTTTTATACAGTTGCTAAATTTGTTCCGGCCAGCAGCATATAAACACACACACGCACGCATGCACACACACACACAGTCCTTACATTAACCACCAGCACACACGCATGCACACCACCATAATGAAGTCGCTGGCGTGCTAGTGACGCAGCCGGTCACAAGAATGTTGTTTTCCGCTGCAGGTGGTTCGACTCCTTCACTTGTCTCCTTCACTTCATCCACTAAACTACTTTTCTCCACTGTTTGTACCTGGTGTACACACACACACACACTCTCCCTCTCTCTCTCTCTCTCTCTCTCTACCTCTCCCTCTACCTGAGTGTGTTGATTTCAGGTTCAAGTTGCAGGTTGCAATTTGTCCATGCTGTCCCCCTTCCCCCCTTTCTGCACTCAAGTCCCTGCAGAGCCCGCCCCCATGTTTACATTCCCCGCTCCACACTTGGCTCGCTCAAGGTCCTTGTGCTTTGTGTTTCTTTTTCTGTTTTGCTCAAAAGTAAATCTCTCTCACCCCCTTGCATCCGTGTGGACGTGTGTGTGCGTGTGTGTGATTAGTTCTGTTGCTTCATTAACATGTTGTCAGAACAGCAGTCCTGATGGGAGCCAAAACTTGAACCTCATTCCTGCAGCTCTGGCTAAGAGTCAGGCACTGGTTATGGTTGAGGTTGGAGATAAGATGATAGAATAGAATAGAATAGAATAGAATAGAATATTTTTAAAGCACATTTTTTGTGCAAAAGTATTGCAAACCTAATGTTGATTTTTGCTCTGTAGTATTATATTTTTAATAAAATCAAGAAAAACCCTAACCTTGAATTCATTATTAATTTTTTTATAAAACATTGTGACTCATCTCAGAAAAATGATTGAAATTTTCAAACGTTGCCCAGCCTTACTAAATATATCACACTGTGTGGGAAATATTTTGATGAAGCACTACACTACAGTAATAGCACCCCCTCAAGGAAAGATTGGAAATTTATGATCGTTAGGCATATTTTTTTATTTTTATTTTTTCATTTTTTATGTATTTACGTACATAAAAAGTGGATTCTGGTGCAAAACTTTTAGGAAATATTTTGCAAGTCACAGCAACGATAGTCATTGTAGAGTCCTGGAAAAAAGTACATGCACAGCTGTGCTTGGAAGTACTGCTTGTGTGAGTGTATGTGTGTGAGAGAGAAAGCCTGGTGAATGATCCACCCTCCAGTTTCCTTCTGTTAATCTCCCCTTTGACATTAAAATGCATGAGTGCACACTCTCCCTGTGGCTTCACTTACCTGTGTCAGCCTTGGACAGGATGCATGGGGGTGGGCGAATACTGGTAGAGCATAAACTAGGGGAGGGTATAGAGGGGGGTAAGCAGAGTATATATGCAGTGACAGGGGAGGCGGGGATTCACTGCGCAAGTGAGGAAAAAGTCCAGGACTAGGGATATGGGAGAGGAAAGAAAGGAAAGAGTAGGAGGTCAGAGGGGGAGAAGGAGGTGGGAACCAAGGGGAGTTGAGGGAGGAGAAGGGGGCAGTTCTGTTAGCACCTTGAGAAAAAGAATGTTCCTTTGCTTGTCTTCCTGTGGCAGCGAGGGAGACGGAGGGAGGACAAGAGCAGAGGAGGGAGAGGAAAAATTAACCTGAAGCTGAATCTGAACACTCGTACCTCTCTTTTTTCTCACCCCTCTCTATTCAATCCTCGTCCTGTCCCACCTCCCCCTTTCTTTCCTCTCTGCCTGTCATCTGCTTCTCTTTTCCTCTGACTCCAAAGCCAGTGTCGACCCTGCATTTCCATCCTGTGAACGTAAGTAAACGGCTGCTGCGCGTTTGTCAGTGAGAGTGTGTGAACGTGTACCAGCTACACACTCCGTCAGACCAGCGGTGAAGTTTTACCATGTGTCTGGTATTTCACTTTCGTTGCTATGGACCTCTTTCTATGGACCTAACAGTTTGTGCTCGTAAAGTTCTGGAAGATTCTGTGTCTGTTGTTGAAGTCACTGTCCAGTAAAGTCCTGTCTGACCATCAGCTGTTTCTGGTACAGGGTGTTGCTGGTATCCAGACTTCAGAACTGATTATATTTTCAGAACCCTGATGCATCCTGGGAGCATTTATGACAGATATGGACTACACTATTACTACGTCAAGATCGAGTTTTATGTTGTTTATGCTCCTGACTGAATATTCAGCACAGCGAAACCCCTTCCCTCTCGGAGCCTGTGGGAATTTTACCCTCAATTTTTCTTTTAATTCTCAGCTGAGCTGCAGTTGCACCTGGTCTGGTCTTTTTCTGACAACATTTGGAGACACTCTTTGCTGTGTTGACCTTGGTTGTCAAGAGCTAAAACTTTAGTTTCTGTTTCCTTCCTATTAGGTCGACTGACTGGTGTCTTTTATTCTGATTTATTCTGGAATGTTGCCTGGAAAACTTGGAGTTGGTTGTTTAGTGATTGAACAGTAGATTCCTAGTTGAATGTCAGCTGATCATCTTGACTTGTTGGGACCATGAAACCATTCACAGAGTTACCACACGTCACACCAGAGCAGTTTTTCACTTTTGACTTCGCCCTAGATTTAACGACCTTTCAGTCCCTGGTCAGGACCAGGTGCGTGGAGCCAAACCTAGCAACACTTCATTTGGAGAATAGTTCTGGTAATGATAAACCAGATGGACTGTTTAACTGCTGAGTTTTCACTGCGGACACCACGTGCCCTAACTTTATTTCCAACCAAAAATGTTATTTATTTACTTTACTTTGTTTATCTATGCAAAACTGACAGGCAGAAAAAAAATATATACTCCTCCTCTAGATGGCAGCAGATGGCTATAAAAGCCAACAAACCAAAACAAATAGAGACTCTTTTGAAGGAGTCTTTCTTCAACACCTGTGAGTTTATCAGTGTTGTGTTCAACTAAACAGGGAGTGGGACCTAGAAGATTATTATATTTCATTACAAATACTTTGTGTCATGGAAAGGATGTCTGTCATGGTGGTATACCTGAGTTCAGAGCACACACACACACACACACTCCACACACAGAGAAAAGCCACTCTGTGTACTCTTCCTGCAGTGAAATGTTCAGTACGAAGGTGTCAATTATTCATGTCTTCTTTTTACTCAGTCCTCTCTGGGTGTGGAGTTGTTGTTTAACCTGAGACCATTAATAAGAAACGGACAGAGTCACCTGCAGCTATGAGTTGAACCACGGGAGCTGCTTTGATGGTTTAAAGTCAATCATAACTGGTGTCAGTTTTGATTGACATTTCCATGAACAGTTTATGGCATCAGTCAGTTGTCAGTCTGTCGTCACTCTTATCTTTCCAGGGTGAATATGGTGTAATAAAGGTGACAGAAAAAATGTGTTGATTTCAGCTAGTTTAGTATATTTTTACATTCCTATATATAATCTATAAATCATATATATATATTCATAGATTCAGCAATAATGAGTAGCATGTATTTGTATTTTGAAGCTAATCTCACAAGAAAATGCATGATTATTTTTGGAGATGTATTACTATCGTACAGTACTGGTCATTGGGGAGGGGTTGATCTATTGTGATAGTCCGATTTATGTAAACCACGCAACTCTAATAGGTTGGTTAACTTGGTCACTGTCTCCGTCTTCACAGCTCCACCTATGGTCCTGGACTCTGGGAACGAGTCTGTGTACACCAGATTGAGGAAGAAGAGCAGTGAGGAAGGGGCTTCATTTTCCCTGACCATCAGCAGCCCCAGCTGCAGTGACCGTACTCTGTCTGCCAGCACAGACTCAGGCCTGTCTGTAGCCTCACAGGGAAGGACCACAGCCAAACAGAGGAGGGGGTCCCCGCAGGACAAGCACACCCGGGCGGGGAAGCCTGTTTCTGGGCTGAACTTTGAGATTGCTCAGCCTCTTCTGGAGGTTATGGCTGAGCTTGCTGCATGTGGTGGAGTGGAGGCGAAGGTGGCCGGAGATGAGTCCGGACTGGGGCTCACCATCAACGGAGAGACTTCATCCAGCGAGAGGGAGACCGACATACTGGACGACGAGGACGGCGTAGACGGAGCAGAACCTTCTGGGTTAGAAGTCCCGAGCTTGAGTCACAGAGCCAGAGTCCAGCCTGAGTACTCCACACACTCCTGGGTGAAGCAGCAGCAGGTGGTGGTGGTCAGTGATGGTTACCAGGTGGATGGAAAAGAGAAGGTGAGCACGAGGAGACTGGACCAGCCTCCACCTCTGGTGGCCCCCAACACTCCACTTCGAGGAGTCAGCAGCAGGGAAGCCGTCCACAGAGGACAGGCAGTGCACGAGGACACTGTCCACAATGTCACTGAGTCACAGGACAGTCTGTCCCCTCATACGAAACCCTGTTCATCGCAGCAGGAGGACGATCTGTCCTCTCTGAACACAGACATCGACGAGTCCATAGAACAGCTGAACCAGCTGATCCTGGATCTAGACCCGACCTTCGTTCCAGTTCCTACTCGCTGTGCTCCACTGTCACGTTCTGCTTCTCTACACACCAACGGGCTCAGCCACAAAGGAAACTCACATCTGTCAGGTATGACTAGTCACACCTCCAGACACAACAACCATTGTGGGTTGCAGGGTAGATGAAATTTAACGGATCATTTCTTTAACGTCTCTCTTTAAAAAGTTTTGGACTTTTTAGGAGTGTATCTCAGAACTTAAATAAATAAAATGTATTAAATTAAATGTATGATTTACATTGACATCTATTTTCAGCTACAGGTCTTCAGACATCTGCTCATTGGGAATTCAGAATAAAAATAATCGCTTACAACAATTTAATCTTAAAAAAGGCTGTTAAATTTAGAAACATGACGTTTGTTTTTTTTTTTTTTTGCAGTGAAATAGATCATGGCACTTTGCCATCATAGCAGAAACACACACAAAAAAAATCTATTTTTCCCTGTACCGGCGCTCACAAACCCCCCATTAGCTGAATTCCACAGGGGGGTATGTAACTGAAAATACACTTTAGCTGAACTGGTCCTTGAACAATTATGGTGGTGCAGAGGCGTACAACAGTTTCACACTCTGTCACATTAGGACTGAAAGAAAAACACACCTGTGCTAACAAGCTGGCAGGTAAAACACACACACAGGTATTGAGTATTTATAATTAAACTGAAATACATGTGTCCGTTGACTTTTTGAAAATTTCCGTGGTCTGGGACAGAGCGGTTGATGAGTTTTTATTGGAGAAGGTGTGTTGTTTGATGTGTGGGTGGCAGCTTTTGATCAAATAAAGAGTGGATTTTTCCTGCCATGTCAGCAGCGCTAAATTAACGTCCTTGAGTGTTTACAGTCCAGTCAACCTTATTTAGAATAGAAATACATCTATTCTAAATGATGGTGTTAGACGAGGACGACACGGCAGACTCTGGTGACAGTGAAGCTCAGGAAGCTCTAAATGACTTCCTGTGTAAATGATAATAAAACTGGCACGGTACAAAACGGCAGCTGCCGTGTGTCGTCAGTTCTGTGGAAGAATACAGACCGACTGTTGAATACTGTCCGTCTTTGTACTCCCTGTTTGGACTTTAGACAAAAAACAAACAACGGAAATCAAAAGGAAATCCAGTCTCCGTAAACATGTAATCAAAAATATTTGAATTAATTAATTAGTTTCCCCCATAAAAAAGCGTCCTTTTAAATTATTTGCTTCTCTCTATCTAAATAAGTCGAATGTGTTCCCTCTTTCCCATCGACATCAATTTCCGTCCAGTTTATTCATTACACACTGAGTAAATCTAATAAGAGGCCAATCAGACTGGACATAGACAGAAATTAGAACAAACACCGACTTGTTCAGAAAAGGAAAGAGACATTCATTAGAGAATGAAGACCCGAAGCTCACTTTAATCCCAGTGTCCACTGTAGTTTCAGAAATGAATGGAGAAATAGTTCTTTGGAGACAAGTACTTCTATCATGTCTGACAGTACTACTGTGGTGACAGACACAATGTCGTAGACTCTACTTTGTTGGATGGGGGTCATAACAAACAGACTCTGAAGATAATGAATAGAAAGATAATTACATTTGGAACGTCAGTTTCCAGACGCTTCCATACTGTAGTCTTAACCAATGGTTTCCTGTTCCTTCTCCAGTAAAATCTGATCTTAATTAGTAAATTACAATTTGCTTTGGAGGGGAAATTGAGGATAAGGATAGCCGTAGCTCAAAAAAGGTTGGGAAACACTGGTCTATGTGTGATAGAAAAGTCTGAACATTATTTATGAGACGTGTTGTACACAATCGTAATTTCTAGAAGATTTTTTTGGTTTTCTTGAGCCGTGGTTTTTTCGTGGCGGCCTCTTTTGTTCTTCTGGTTCTTCTCACTACTCTGTCACACACGACAGATTTATTCGCCTTCCCCTCCAATCGGATGGAGCCTGGAGGAAGTGGTACATTTCTGCGGCGACCTTCGTCTCTGCTTAATTTTCTGTCGGAGAACAGCTGGTCATAGGTCTTAGCAGTGATGTCATCACTCCTGAAGAACTCTTAGCGGTACCTTACAGATGTTCATTAGCCTCTCCAGGCCTGGGGGGGAGGCACCACGTGGGAGATGCTGGAGGGTGGAAGGTTGACACGAGTGGCCTTGGCAGCTGTAGCTAGTGTTGACCTGCAGCCATGTGCCACACGGGGCACCGTTGCTGCTTTAAGTTAACCTGTGATCCTGGTCCACTGCACAGGAAATGGATAGCAAATGTGTGTTTGGATGTATGTAGGTCAGCGAGTCAGAGGGCTAACAGGGCTGATGTTTCCCTCAGGACGCATTTAGGCAGTAATTCTGAGAGCGGGCTGCTCGGACTGGAGTTCAAGGGGATGTTTTGTAAGGGACGAGGAATGCTTTTGAAGTCGGACAAAACACTTTGCTCTCCCGTGTGTTTGCATCACGCCTCTCCTTTTCCCTATCATCATCTCTGTGAATAGAGAGTAGCTGCTCTGAGGAGTGCAGCCAAGTATCGAGTGATCCTCCACGCTGTGAGAATCCTCCACAGACCGAGGCTTCAGCCAACACTCTGGTGTGGGAGCGTAACAGGATTAGTTTCAGTGGCTCTAATGGGGGCCAACATGTGATGTTGGAGGTGCTGGATGCTCGCAGTGAAAGTTGAGCCCACAGTGTTTCTTGAAGTTGTTTACGAAAGGCCACAGGTTCGCAGATAGTGATGTCACTGTGTTTGTACAAATAAATAGAATATAATCAGTTCTGCATCATTTCTGCTTTAATGGTTCACAAAAGACACATTTGCTGCTTTCAAGGTTATTTTTTTCTTCTTTTTCCTAAAACCAGGATATTACCCTCTGGGGCTGTTATGACAGATGACAAATGGGAGTATCTCCAAAACATTCTCTGCTCTCAGGCCAACCCTTAGCTAACATTTTTACTACCATTCTGCTGATAAGGATACAGTAGAGGATTTATTAGTGTTTTTCTTTAAACAATTAAAAAAAATATATAGACATAAATGCGACAATGTTAAGAATAGACTGCATGAGCATTTTTAGATAAAAGTTATCAAATTTTCTTCAGAAAGTGTCACCAGGCGTCATTATACCTTGTATCAGTGCTTGGGCCGGGCTGGATTAGAAAGCCCAGTCGGCCGTATCTGGGTCACTCGCCCCCCAGGTCTGCTATAGAATATCAGTAACTTACAAGGCTCAAACCAGTGACCTTCTTGCAGTCAGGTGGGCACACTCACCACTCGTCCAACATGTGGCCATGTCTTTTGTTTTTCTGCCACACCTAAATATCAAGACTGGTTCAAATTCTTCACCAGTGGCAGCAGTAAAGCAGCTCCACTGGTAGCAGTACCACGCCCACAGATGTCATGCTCCATGTAAATAACCCAACTTCATCAGTCAACTACGATCTCCAACCCTACCTTGAACCCATCTGACAATCTGACTTCGCTTACTTCTCGAAAGGACATGAAAAGCTCAGAACATCTTCCTTTTTGTCTTCTTTCTAACTGTCCTGGAAACACGTCATCAAAGTAGTTCATAGTAATTGCTTGGTAGTGAAGAGGATGAGCTGTGACCACAGCATGTGAAATACGGATTTCTGTGGGAGGAAAACCTCCAGCCTAGGGGGCGACAATCTGCTCACATCTGAGAACAGAAGGAATGATTGTTCCAGAAGATGTTTCTCCCTCCCCTAATGAATCTGAGGGATATTCCAACATCTGGTCACAGAGAGGATGTGCTCACACACACACACACACACACACTCACAAACATACATGTTGGGGGCCTATTTTCAGACACAAACACCAGTCACCGTCATCGCCTCCTTCTGGTCATAACAACATGTTAGTATTCCAGACGTGGCTGATCCTGATGTTTCATTTCATGACTCATGTGTGATCACCTGATTACATACCTGACTCTAATCTGTCTACATCTATATCTACATCTGCCTCCTCCGCTGCTGCCCTCATCTGACTCACCCTGCTCCTTTCTCCTATCTCTTTGTTCCTGATCAGGGTGGAAGCAGCAGAAACAGATCAGTGACATCACAGACTACACTGCCGCACTTCACAGTCCATCGTGGAGATCAGGACGGGCCCAGACCTTCAGGGGCTCCCCGGTCTACAGCCCCTCTTACTCGCCTTCTCTGGTAAAAAAAAGTTTCTAGTTTCCCATACTTGGCAGACATTTATGGCACATTCCCACTGCAGAAGCATATACACATACTCCAGGTACAAGCAGAGTGGGGACCAAGGATTGCGTAGACCTACGAACAGTCTGTGACCAGGTAGATCCTTAAACTTGACCCTTAACTCAGGGGTTCCCAACCTTTTTTTTGGCCTTTTTATGACACCTTTTTGACAAAATCACACCTTTCTGGCAACTCCAGAAAAGTGTTTTTTTTTTAAATTAATTTTTCATCATGTTTGTTATACTATATTATATATATATTACACAATTGTTTTCAGTTTTTTTTAATCAATTACTAGAAATGTCAGGTGACCCCATTTAAATTCCGAGCCCATGTGGGGTCATGAATCCCTGGTTTGAATATTGTTGGATGACTTAGAACTAACAATGGCCCTAAACCAATAGAACTGTGGACCACAACCCCAAATGACCAAAGTCACAAATGTCTCCTCGTACTTCAAGGTCCATGTTCCCTTTTGCTTCCACTGTTACGACACAACTTCACATTTTTAGACTGAAACTACAAATTTAACGTAGAGCCATAGGACGAAGAAAAACAAACACCATTTCCTCAGCATTTATCAACAGTAACCGGTCACATAATGGAACGACCTGCTCAGCAGTTCACTAACACAACACACTGTAACAGGACTGAGCTCAGAGATTAGATTAATTCACAGAGAAAACAATATCCTGACGTCAGGAGGAAGGAGCTGCTTGGCATTTAGTGAAAAGTCACTCTGGGAAAAGGGGCAGTAAAAAGATTAGGCAAAGTTATTAAAAGTTGTTAAAATAACTCAAACAATGAGCTGTGGATCCTGAGATATAAGACAAACACAGGAGTTCACCAAGTCCACTGACGCAGGGTTCTAAACTCAGGGGTCCGGTGTTGTTGGAGGGGCCCGGGGTTGACAGAGGTTTAAACTACTTCTTCTGTCAGTCTGAAGACTAATATGGAGCAACAAACAAATCCACTGTATTTTAATTATTCTGTGAGTTCACAACAGGTGCTACAGTTTAAAGGATGAAGGTTTTTAGTTTAAATCCCTTTAGATCAGACGGAGTTTAGAGAAACACAAACATCAGTAGGATGATGGAGAAACGAGTGGAGAACAAGTTTTACTTTATTGTAAACTTAATTGCAGTTAGTCAACAAAGGGTTGATTTTCACTTGTCAAATTCTTGCTTCCTAAAATATTAAAAAAAAGTAAAAGCTTTAAAAGGGACATAAATTAAAATTGACCAAAAAACCCCCCAATAATTTATCCGAAACCTCACAAGAACTGTAGGAAAACCCTAATTGGTTCTTGTTTTTCTACTATTACAGGCAAAGTTAGCACAAATGTTGCTAAAATAAAAAATACAGGAAATAGGACTGATACTAGAATTTAAGGATACATTAGAAAAATTTATTACTTGAATTAAAGAAAAACTGACATTAGCAACAAAGGTTTTTACCAGCAGAGATTCAAGGACATTGAGATAAATGTTAGTTACGACTCAGCAGATTTATAACTTCTTCAATAAAGTGTCTGGCACCAGGGGGCGTCTGAGTCTGGTACTGTCCAGACCCAGACCCAGACCTGAACTGGTCTTTATGTGAGCAGCCCATCCATCCATCCACCCCAGACAGAGTGTTTTGTAAGACATGAAGTGTGTGTGTGTAACTCTATCTGCATCTCTGCTCTTCACACACATTCTTATATAAGGATGCATTAATGGACCTGTTGTTGACACCAAAACACAGGCCGCAGCCACACACAGATGTCAAGACTGATGTCTGCATGCAAGTGTGTGTGTGTGTGTGTGTGTGTGTGTGTGTCAGTCAACTCCGTCTATGAAATGTTTTTTTGATCTTCCCCTACATCTGTGTCTTTTCAAAGCAAGGACATCTATACAAAGCCAACAGCATGGATGGACAGGGACTCGTTGACGGCCAGGACTTCGTCCCCCAAACCCCAGCATTCCCGGTATCTCCACCGACACCTTACGGTAAGAGATAAGCACCAGGGCGCACGCTGCTGCACGCACACGGCGCCCTGAGGTGGGCGTGTTAGCATTTTTACATCTTATCTTCTGCTTTCTCTTCCCAGTCAAACATTTCTCTGAGGTTTCTCAGCTGAGGACCAGTGAACAGTGGGACCAGCACAGCTGGACACCAGGTACACTTAGACAGGAATGTGTGTGTGTGTGTGTGTGAGAGAGAGAGACCTGCAAACGGTGCTTGAGTGTTCAAGTGAATGAGAGCTGAATAAAACACACACATAGGCCAATGCAGGACAGCTGATGCTGGATGTTTGCTAATAATAGGCGGCAGTCATGGAGGAAGAGAGCACTGTGGACAGGATGTCCACTCGCGTCCTGTTCTGGGAGTGGACGGTGGTATAAGGGAGGGTCTTTTGTTTTGCTGGGACATCCTGCTTTGAAGAGATATGCAGCAGATACGCAGCTGCAGGAGGAATTTACTGTAGTGTCAAAACACACACACACACACGTACATGAAACGACTTTCAGAGTCTGTGTTGAAAATCAGATCTGAGTTCAGGGCTGCATTCAAAAGGTGTGGGTTATGTAGAGTTCAGGCTGCGTTGCGTTGCAGCGAGAAGAACATGTTAATGCAGTTATGGCCACGATAATAGTCAGTGCCACAAACTTGTTACATGGTGGTGTGTTCAATGTCAGGATTTCTGACTTCTGCTTTAATATATACATTTTTTTTAAAATTATCAAATATATTCTTCGGTAGAGATTAGAAAAAATAGAACCACTAGGTGGCAGTGTTGCAGATAAAAAGGACAGATACATACAGGAAAGCACACACATATATTTGAGGTTTTAACATTTTTTAAATTCTTCTTCACAGATGAAACTCGATTAAAATGTCAGTTTGGTTTGTTTCCCTCGTCTGTTTCTCTCTCTGTTATGTAAAAACTTTATTGAAGAAGAAACTGGAACTCACAACTGAGACCAGAAAATCGTTAGGAAAATTATGACAGATGTTAAAACACGAAATCTTCCATGAACTTTAATGAAACCTGTTCTGGCCGAGTATCAGAAAAATCTGACACCTGAATATTTCTTCCAAGATGTATTCATAGTAAAACTGACTTGGTATTTACTGAGGCTGTTTTCTTGATGACTACAGATATTTAAAGGGCAGTTCTGTCTGTTTAATGTAAATATGTTTGTCAGAACAAAGTGATGGTGACAGGGGTAGGGGCTGCGGGGGAGGGGGTGATGAAAGAGTGATTATTATTATTATTGTTAACATTAAAAAGCTCAGCCGTCTTTGTAGCTTGTTGCTGGACAGACAGAGGAAAGAACAAAAAGAACAGACATTTCTCGGCCTGTTTCCACTCTGAGGTCAGACCAGCGTTTCCTGTTTCCCATGTTGAAAGTCAGATCGTAGCCTCAGAAAATTATAGATTTTTTAAATAATCTGTCATTTCTACAAACTGAACTCAGACAGTTGTGATGTGTGGAGTAATGACCACCAGGGAGTGAGGCACACAGTGGAGCACACTGAACCCCTGCAGCAGAGTTCCCATCACTGTTATCAACATCAGGATCAAACCGCTAGGGATGCTGGGATTAACACACACACACTGGTGCAGACAATGAAAACACACAGAGGTCCAGACACAGGGAATTCCCTATAGAAAATGTCAAGAATATCGTTAAGTTGTCAAGTTGGAATATTCTCCGTCTTCATGTAACAAATACATTCCAAGATTATTATTTTTTTGTCATTCTTCCATTCTATTTTGAAGTCATTCTTCCTCATTATTGGCGTAAAAGTGCAAAAAAAAAAATGTGTTCATTATGTGAGACAGTGGTTCTCAAACCATGGTTCGTGGTGCTTCTTGGGCTCCCTCTAGTAGTTTAAGATTAAATTCTATTTATTAGCTTGGGCTGTCTTAACAATCCTAGAAGGAAAATATTCTCTTCTTCAGGTACTCGCTAAGCTGAACAGCACAGGTCGAGCCGCTGTATGTGAACCGGAAAAGCTGTCGTCACAGCAGAGCAATGGTTCCCAAACTGAAGGGTGTCCCCCTCCAGGAAGTATGGCGCTACTGCAGGATAGATTATTTTTAAATCAAATTTGTTTTGGCAAAAACACATTGATTTGTAATTGTGGTTTGTTGTTGTAGTGGCAGCCATGGAGACACGACATTCCTGTGGGTCTGTTTCTTGACCTGGGGACTTAAGTGGAATCAGTTTTTTTTATTATCATGTATAAAATGTTATCAAAGTCTTTAAACTAATGGCGGGAGATCAGTGACATCCTTCCCATCGTCTTCACCCTTCAGCCTCTGGTCCCAGTTGTTCCCATGTGTTTTGCTGTGCCCCGGTGATGACCCCTGCTGCTGCCTCTGTGCTACTGAATGTGATGGCGCGGCTCAGCTGTGATACGTTACATAAGAGCCACATTTGTTGTCTTTCAAACAAACAGTTTTAAATTCAGGAGCTCTGTGGGAGCAGAGGCAACCCTGAGCAGTAAGACTGAAGGAGCAGTTGTGGCAGATGGTTTGTTTGGACCAACACTAGAGTGTCTAAAGCTCAGGGTCAAAGGTCAGGAGGAAGTACGGGCCAGTGGTTGGGTTTAAAGTTGGTTGTTGGTCTTTTGAGGTTTCAGAAAATCCTTATGTAATGTTATCAAAACAGAAAACCTTGATCAACGTGACTTTTTCTTACAGAAGACTTTATATAAAAAATGGAGATGGCTTTCAAACTGCAAACGCTGGTTTGGTCTTCTCGCTCAGTTTGTTAATATCAGCAAAGTAAATTATGGTTTATTAGTCTGATACTTTGATGCTCCTCAGAGAGTACCAGACAGTAGGGCCACAATAACAGACGTTCTGTTGAGAAACGCTTTTGGTAATAAATGATTATGGTCTAAATCCATATTTTAAACTGTTTCACTTCAATTTCCTGTCTTTAAACCCAGAAAACTCTACTGTAAATCTTGTAGGACTTGGACTTGGATTCATATCAAAACTCGATATAAGTATAACTTAGGTCTGGTCTAGGATTTGAACACAGAGGATTTGGGATCAGACTAAAAAGAACAACTGCATATAAATGGACACAAGATATAATATGTATAAAAAAGAGTGTTATTATTTTTCAAATTTTTAAGGTTGCTAGGTTTGTTTCTTTACAGCAGTGATTCTCAACCACTGTGCTGTGGCACCTTAGTGTCCCGTGAGAGATCAATAGGTGTGCTGCGGAAAATTATCCAATTTCTCTTAATTGGGCTGAAAACTATTATTTATTTATTGTATATAATTTTTCTTTGCTCATCAAAGCATGAAAGGCAGAACTATTAAATACTCTTCTACTAGGTTGTAGCAACATACACTTTTTGTTTGATATCGATGTGCCGTGGCTCAAAAAAGGTTGGGAAACACGGATTTACAACATTGTTGCAAATCATTTAAAGTTGCAAATTTCATTTAAATAGAGAATAATATAAAATAATTATTCCCCTACTGGCCAGTTTTCCTCCCTTAATCCTAATCCTAAATCCATTCATAAATTTTGTCTAAAGATTTTTGGTTTACATTCTAGTACAAAGTTGTATCAAATCCCAGGGAGTTTGGAGCGCCTTATTGGTCTGCCATGTCAGAAAAGACGGGAACAGAGCAGAATTATACGATGGGTCATTTTTCCTTCGAGGTGGGGACGTAAAATGATGATATGTTTGGACAGAAACAAAAGTAAGAAAGTCAACTCACACAGAGTGCAGTCAGATTTATGATGAGCTTCATGAGGTACAGGGACCAGACGGGGTCAGTGTGTGTCGGCATGTCTTTGTCCCGGCGATCATGTGGAGCAGATGGTGGGAGTGAACGCACATGCCCTGACAGAAGGGCCATAGATGCCCAAGCAGACCCACCACTCACCACCACGACTTCCTCCTCTTCTCTGCACTCCATAAAAGGCCACATGTGTCCTCTGACCTCACTGGAATCCACTGTGATTGGGGGAAAGTGCTCGCAGTGGCCCAGCAGGAACAATGCTCAGTGGTCAGCAGGAGGAGGGAGAGGAGGGAGGCTGTGTGGGCATGAATGGAAGGGAGGAGAGTGAGGGAGATATTTTCTACCTCCACTCCACCCCCCGGGCTCCCCCTCAGCTCTGTCCCTCTTTCTGTGCCTCCCTCCATACAAAGGCAGCAGACGACGGGTGTCCCAGGGAACCAGGAAGCTTATTTTTCCATCTGGAGAACCAAAAAATTGGGCACAGTGGTGGAAGTATTCAGACCCCTGACCAGAAAGAACTTCAGTGAGTCAGGCTTGGATTGCATTACTGCAGACGGGAGTGGAAGAGAGGGAGGGAGGGAGAGAAGGAGAGAGGAAAAAGGAGGAGGAGATTCTGGTAACGGAGAAAGTTTCATTCACACTGAGATCCACAGAGAAGAGATAGAAGTTTGGAGTAGAAGAAGAAGACGGAGAAGAAGAGATCTTTTAGGATACAAAGGAAACAAAGAGCAGAGACGTTTGACAGTGTGACATCATGACTGCATCTCTGGGTATGTACATGTCAGAAGAATGAATGACTGTGTGTGTTGGTCACTGACCCGTCTACGGGTGTTTAAAGATTCATCAGTTCCATTGTCTCTAACTTCCTTAACAACCTCAGAACTTCTCACGTTTTTTTCTTTTGTAAGAACTGTCTTCTCCGTCTGAAGGCATTTCTTTCTCTGATTTTTCTCTCCTGTGTTTACACTCCTTTATCTCCCCCACTGACCCTCCTGGGGATTTTAAGAATGGGGGGTGGAAAAGTGGGGACATGCAAAGAAATGCTTTCCTTTCTCTCCTCCAGGCTTCTGGTATTTAATCTTCTGGAATGAAGCGCAGCCTTCTCAATGTTATCGATGTGCATTAAGTTGTTGTTGTTGCTGTTGTTGTTTTTGTTGTTGTTGCTGTTGTTGTTGTTGACCATGGTGTATTGTTCTGGACAGCAGCGTTTGCAGCCCACTGACACTCGGGGGGGGGGGGGGGGGGGGGGGGTGATGAGGTGGTTTGTTCCACCGCTGCCTTCATGATGTCATCTTGTTAGTGAGAATCTTGGCTGGGGATGGGAAGGCTGATGTATTGGTGGTTAACCCAGAGGGGAGATGCAGGGGGTGGTGGTGGCTCGTTTCCCCTTATTTCCTGCA